CAAGATGCCATGTTCTTGCCATCACTTGTTAGCAACAAAGACAACCTTGAGCATTCATGCTTATCTCAAGCCATGGGAACTAGGCTTAACACACATCAGGTAGAGCTTGGACCTCTTCTAGCTTCTGCACATGCCTCCATTAGAAAGCTTCTCAAATTGCACGACAAGTCTTTACCTGCAAAACATGGGGCCCAAAAGCAAAACATGATCCCAGTTACTTTGTAACTGAGTTTATTCCATGCTCACATGTGGCTAAATGAAGAATCTCACTCAGTACATATGGTACTTCTGCACTGCTTCCAGCGCTGTATGCAAAACAGATGCAATGCAGCGTTGGATGCCTAGGTGTATCTCGGCTCATATCCTTGAAGTGCTAAGAACTCTAGCCCACTTCTCCATGCGGACTGAACTGGGGTGCTACTGCAACTGGGTGAGGTTGACAGGCTTGAAAATAGGTCCTGAGGCCCAGAAAAGCCATTTCTTGGCCTTGTCTACAAGAAAATAAGAGACAAGAAAGCAATGGGCAGAGGAGAAGATTCTAGAAGTTTGGGGAAATATGCACTTCAGGAGGAGACAGTATTGTTGGGGATCTTAGCTGCATGAACACTTTCAAATAATAAATAGTACTATTTTTATATTAAATGTATTGTATGCAACCTGAATCTGAAAGAGATCAGATAACCCACAGTGAATTATGTAACCGTCTAGAGAGTGACAACACCTATCTACTTAATAGCAAGAAAAACAGCCAATACCATACCTATGCTTATATATTTGATTTTTGAAAAGTCGTAGACATCTGATTATGCCAAATATGGCAGGGACAATCAGGGTGTGGAATGGATTTCCCCATAGTTAGATACTTCACATTCACAAAGCATCCTTACAAATCAGGGGTCCGTGCCTCTTGTGCAAGCCTAAGCAGCTCTTTGGATTCCAGCCTTTTGTAAGATAAGAGCAGTCAGGATTACTTCGTAGCAAGCTATTAATATTAGAATTCTCAAGTGCCAGGTCAATGGTAGATTTATCTAATTTGAAGGCAGGCAGGCAGGCAGGCATCCTGTACTTTCCTGTACTTTCAATTGTCACACAAAACAGATTTGCAAGTGCAGATTTTCACTCCATTCAGTTGCCTTGAAGAAACTCTTCTGTTACTACAGGGCCCAGCAAATTCCAGGTACCAAGTTTGGTGTAGTGGTGCACGGACTCTAATCTGGGAGAACTGGGTTTGATTCCCCACTCCTCCACTTGCAGCTGCTGGATGACCTTGGGCAAGCCATAGTTCTGACAAGAGCTGTCCTTGAAAGGGCAGTTCTTGAAAGAGCTCTCTCAGCCCCACCTGCCTCACAGGCAATGCTCCCTCTAAGCTGGGGAGTCTTGTGAGCAAAAAATCTGCTTTGTGAACTACTGGCATTAAAGTTGCGAGTGAGCCATTTGGTTGCTGCATAAATTAGTTGGCTCTGGAGCCATCTTTCCTAAGCTAAGACAAAAATTTGTGAGCTGGAGGCTAAAAAATGGTGAGCTAGCTCACACTAACTCATCTTAGAGGGAACACTGCACAGGGTGTCTGTTGTGAGGAGGGGAAGGGAAAGGAGTTTGTAAGAGACTCTGAGTGAAGGGTGTGGTATAAATCTAATCTCCTCTCCTCCACCACCTAGAAATTAGACTGTAGTGCCTACTACTTTCAGCAATGACTTTTTATTATAGTGTCTCTCAGCAATTCACAGTGGAAGCACAAAGACTGGCTCCAACCATGTTTTCCACTCTGACCAGCAAAAAGGTTATGTTTCGGTTCTTGAGACCTGCACAAACAAAAGCCATGTTGAACAGCAGGCTGGGGGGTGGGGTGAGGTAAGGCAACAGCAGTTGTGCTGCACATTTGGTGCCTCTACCTCAAAAACTAGCCCCCCCAAGAGCCCCAGATACCCCTGGATCAATTCTCCATTATAGCCTATGGGGCCCATTGACTATAACAGTCCCCATAGGCTATAATTAAGCCAGGGGAAAAAGTGGTTTTTTGCACACCCCTATTATGCTTTTCAGTATGATTTGTAAGCTGCCTTGAGTCACAGGGAAACATGGGATATAAATATTTGAATAAATAAGTAGTTTGGGCAAGTTGATAACATTTAAGCAACTTCCTGTTTGTTATGTTACACAGCGTTCTGACAGTGATTGTTCCACCTCTGTTATACTTGACCTGTAATGCTGGTAATCATATTTCACTAAGAAAAACCAAAGTAGACTGCAAGAGTTCCCCTCCCCCAGTGCTGGTATGTTTTCTAAGGGTCAGCGCAAGGCGATGGTCCAAGGCCAGATCGATGAATATAGTGGACTAGGGCAGATAGACTTGTTCTCTGGAGGCCTGGTCTACCTATAGAGGACATTTTGTGTAATGAAATTATTCTTAAAATATAGTTTAAAAGAATTCATTCTGAGATTTTACAAGGTTATGGAAATAATCGTCTTAAAAAATAATTTACACAATAGTCAAATGTAGACTTGCTCACAACTTTAATGCTACTAGCTTTTCTTACTCAGAAGGTAGAATTTCTGCTCACAACACTGTGGATCTTAGAAGGAACACTGGCAGGACCAAATGAAAAAAGCTGGCCAGAGCTAACTGTATGACAAAAATAAATGTGCATGAAGTTCTCATCACTGCTTGTTTGTGTACAAGCTTCAATTTATCCCATTCAATAGTGGGGGATGATTATTGATTATGCAGTAAAAGCAAAATTTGAGAAACAGTTCCATCTCGAAATCTGAAGAGAGATGGAGTGTCTATTATGCAAGAAGGAGATAAACTCAGAACGAGGAACAGTGCAAAATGGTCTATAAATGTACTGTAAGGTGTATGAATGTATAATGCAGAAAAAGGAGATCAATTTTTTAGTATAAATGTACAAAGAAGTGAATTCTGAACAAAATATTTCTTATTTTTTATTGCAAGATACATACTAGATCTTTCTTCAAACTTTGGTATATCAAAGTTATAGCTAGTATGTAGCACTGATGAAATATGGTAAAACAGAATACGTATTAATGATGAAACTAGTGTAGAAAATGTCTCAAAAATACTAATAAAGGGGATGTTGGGGACAAGTATGATAAATATAAATCGTTTCATAACCCCTATACAACCCCTTTCTTTCTTCCTTCCTGTACCCTTTCCATATTACTATTTTGTTCTTAAAATAAAACTATATTATGAAAAGAACTGGGAGGAGTGAATTCATTTTTTTAGCCATCTGCTTTCTATATTAGCTCCAATATTTAGTCAAATGGAGCGCCTTTAGCAATAATGAAATTATGAGAAATTGGAGGGAAATTAGGCTGGGGTTAGATATTAGCTTTTTGTTGTAGTGGTAACAAATAGAGCCACCCCTATATTTATGTACAATACTTTCATCATAGTTGTAATAAAATTACAGGATGCAGTGCAAAGGCCAGGATTATGCTGTGTGGTAGTAAAAACTGGAAAAATTAATCATTAAAATACAAAACCCTGAAGGCTGCAAGGTGAGCTTGGCTTCAAAATTTGGGGGCTGGCCCTAGAGCCCAAGAAAATTTGTCAAGCCCTGATCTGCTCAGGCCACTGGAACTATAGTAACTGGGCTGTACACAAAAGCTACCGTCCTGGAAACCACAGGATGAAGTATACCATCCAGATTACTATGTGGGAATAATAGGTAGTTCCCAAAGGCAAGCTGCTACTGGATACCACAGCACTGTCGTGGGGCTATGCATGGGAAGTGAGATGGTGTTAAACTGTCTTGTTCCCTTTTCTTAATCCATATTGCCTTAAGTTTGAAGCACCCACACTCCCTTGTAGGGTTGCCATTTGCCCGGGCAACTGAGGAAGGGTCTTTCTGTTTTGTTTTTTGCGCCAATCCCCACACACGAGTGGAGCCAAGGCGGTGCCACGACGAGGCTACCCCCCACCCTCTCAAGCACCCCCCCTC